CACAAAGATGGTTTAATTAAATAACTTGCCCAAGGTTAATTGGTGTTAGGTGGCAGAGCCTGGATTTCAAACCCATGCAGTTTAATCCAAAAGTCTATACTTCTAACCACCATATTATGCTTTTTATTTTTAAATTAAATATTATAAAAATATAATACATTGTTTAAAATTCAAATGATATATAGTAGAAATGTGTTTGCCATCCTAGCCCTTTCTTCTTCTCTCAGCTCTTCTCAGAAGCAACCAGTTTCCTATGTATCCTTTTAAAACTATTCAGTGGTTTGTAAGCATTTCTGCATATACTGTTTAAGAACACAGAAACTAACATGCTATATCATATTCTGCACCCTTCTTTTCCCTTACGTGTTTGTGTGTGTGTGTGTGTGTGTGTGTGTAAATAAAAGAGGTCGGGGGCACCTGAGTGGCTCAGTTGGTTGAGCTTCTGACTCTTGGTTTTGGCTCAGGTCGTGATCTCAGGGTTGTGGGATGGAGCCCCACCTTGGGCTCTGTGCTCAGTGGGGAGTCTGCTTGGGATTCTCTCCCTGTGTCCCTTCCTCCATTCTCTCTCAATCTCTCTAAAATAAATAAATAAATCTTTTTAAAAAATGGGTCAGTTATCAGTATATAAGAGCTTTGTCATTCTTGATGAGAACTATTTACAGCAGACATGGTAAATTGTGAAGTCATTTCTAAGGTCAGAGAAGGTTATGACCTTTTGTATACTATAATTTGACAGAGTTTGGGAGATTTTTAGTTAATACAACAGTATAAATAAGTAACTGATATAAATATTAGAATTAGAAATTATCTTATTTGAGGGGCACCTGGGTGGCTCAGTCTGTTGGGCTTTTCATTTCCGCTCAGGTCATGATTTTGGGGTCGTGAAATGGAGCCCTCAGTTGGGCTCCATGCTCAGTATGGAGTCTTCTTGTCCCTCTCCCTCTGCTCCTCCCTTTTCTTGTGCTCACCCACTCACTTGATCTCTCTCAAATAAATAAATAAAATCTTTTTTTAAAAAAGAAATTATCCTATTTGAGATGAGACTAATATTGATTATTGAGCATCTGTAAATATGTTTGAAAATCATTGGCTTTCACATTTTCCCAAGATTCTCTGGAACACAATAACCCAGTCATTCTTCGCTTTAAAAATGACATCCTGGGGCGCCTGGGTGGCTCAGTTGGTTAAGCGACTGCCTTCGGCTCAGGTCATGATCCTGGAGTCCCGGGATCGAGTCCCGCATCGGGCTCCCTGCTCGGCGGGGAACCTGCTTCTCCCTCTGACCCTCCCCCATCTCGTGCTCTCTCTCTCTGTCTCATTCTCTCTCTCAAATAAATAAATAAAATCTTTAAAAAAAAAATAAAAAAGAAAATAAAAATGACATCCTTATTTTTTTCAAGTTTTAGTAGGCTGTACAAGCATTCTATCTTCTGGTAAGGGAATAGGGAGCATATATTGAAAGGACATTAGTAACCTTTGTGTTTAGCCTCACCAGACTTAACAGTCATGCCAACTATTTCATAGCTAAGCAACACATTTTCTTTTCCGAAGTTGGCACATTCTAGAGTAATGGTTAAATTACCATGATCATTGTAAGCTGACAACAACTTCAGAATCATTTGTTAAGGATCCTGCAGAGTGGTGTTTATTTAGAGAAACATTAGGTGATATTGACATTTCTAAGAGTGAAAAACAGGGTCACAGGAAATGGTGACACAAAGGCAGAGACCTTTACTCCCTTTTTATACAAATTAATCTGTCTTTAATTTTTTGGCATTTAGTAGGATCATTAAATTTTTATTGAAGTATTTCAAGATCTACTTCAGGTTTTACAGCAATTATACTCTCCTAAGCTTTAAAGAAATAAGGTGTTTTTTGTTAGTTTGTTTTAAAGATTTTATTTATTTATTTGACAGATCACAAGTAGACAGGCAGTCAGAGGGAGAAGGAGAAGCAGGCTCCCTGCTCAGCCCGATGCTGAGCCCAGGGTCCTGGGATCATGACGTAAGCCGAAGGCAGACGCTTAACCAACTGAGCCACCCAGGCGCCCCAAGAAATAAGGTTTTTGGTGGAAGTTGCAGTTTTCCAGTTGTTTAATTTATAAATGGGCTTATTGTAAGTTTTAAAAGGTTTATCATCCCAAGCAGATAAATATTGCATACAATGCATATTGAAATAAGGTGTCTAATGTGAGGAAGCAATGTAAATTATGTGGGCAAACAGGTATAAAATTAGACAATCTGGCAATCAGTTCTTCAGTATGGTGTAAATTTGATAAGTTGACATTTATTAAGTTTTTTTTCTCCTGTTTTTGCCCTATAATTCTACTATACTAATAGTAAATATTTTGTAATTAGTATTGTAAATATAACACTAGTTAAATTTATTAGTGATTTTTAAAAAACTTCAACTTGTGTTTTGTTTGAATTTCAGGTAATAACCTTTTCCAATACTTTGTATTTTGTTTAGTATGCCACTTTTTTGAAAGTGGCCACTATCAGTATCTTGTTATGGTTTGATGGCCTTGGAGATTTAAAACCGAGTAAAAGTGTAAGCAGCCTTTCTTACTTAGTTATGAGTTTTAAATCATTTTATTCCAAATAGGAAAAGGCAAAAGTAGATTTCCCATGGAATATGAGTTATATAAAAGAAATCTTAACATGTGACTAGTGAAAACAGACTGGCCAATTCCATTTATGGAATTACAACAGGGGGCGCCTGGGTGGCTCAGTCGTTAAGAGTCTGCCTTCGGGAGCGCCTGGGTGGCTCAGATGGTTAAGCGTCTGCCTTCGGCTCAGGTCATGATCTCAGGGTCCTGGGATCGAGTTCCGCATCGG